CTGGGGATTCGAACCCGCCACCTTAGGTGTATGTGGCTGGCGCCTTAGCCGCTTGAGCCACAGGCGCAGAGCCGAGATCAATTTTTTTTTAAGCAGCTCCAGTTGGCTGTAGTGCTCCCTATAACCTGACGATAGTTAACGATAACATGTACGTTCCAACCGTGAGATTGAGGATGTTGAATATTCTCAATACAGAGAAATGATAAAGGCTTTATAGGACAGATATGCTAATTATGATTATAATTGATCTGCTGGTTACATGTCGTACACATCGAAACATCCCTGGGTATCCTATCAACATACACAACGATTATGTGTCAGTTCAAAAATGTTCAAGTTAAAACTAAATTTATTTACTTTTTTTTCTCTTTGTTTTTTCCTTGCTGAGACAGAGTCCCACCCTATACCCTGAGCAGAGTGCAATGGCGTCACAGCTCAGTGCAACCTCAGACTCGGGCTGTGGGCATCCTCCTGCTTCAGCCTCCAAAGCTGCTGGGATTAGAGGCACCTGCTGCAGTGCTCAACTTGGTTTTTCAAGTTTTTTTAGCTCAAGTTGGTTTTTCAAGTTTTTTTAATGACTTGGGGTCTCATTCTCATTCGGAGAAGCCTTGAATTCCTGAACTCCAGCAATCCTCCTGCCTCAGCTGCCTACAGTGCTGGGATTACAGGCGTGAGCCACTGTGCCCGGCTAAAACTAAATTTATTGTCGGGAAAGGCAGCTACCTTCCTTGCCTTCTGGCCCACGTAAATAAAATACGATTCTGATGTCTCTACACGCATGTAAAACACAAACTAGGAAAAGATCACAAGTCTGTTTTTTTTTAATTTTAATTTAAATGCATCAGCATTTGTGAAAGTCTGATAACACACATTCCAGAATGCATAGCAGAATTCCATGAACTCACAGCAAAGCCAGCTAAACCACTGCCCGAAAACACGAGTTCTCGTCTTCAGAGAAGCAAGCTACAAATAGACCCAAAGACGCAGAATTTTCCAGAATACATTGTCTTTCTCAACAGTTTGTTCAATAATCACGGCACACAGCACCCAACACTGCTTCCCCTGAGCACAGCAGGGAATCACTCTGATGGCTGACTTCCAACTCACCTGAGATTCTATCTGCATAGCTATTTTATTTTTCCTTTTCTTAATTTTTTTTTTCCTGACAGTCTCACTCCATCGCCCTGGGTAGAATGCTGTGGTGTTGCAGCTCACAGCAACCTCAAACGCTTGAACTCCAGAGATCCTCCTGTCTCAGCCTCCTGAATAGTTGGGACTACAGGCACCTGCCACCACACTTGGCTGTTTCTCCTATTTTTAGTACAGATAGGGTCTTGCTCTTGCTCAGGGTGGTCTCGAATTCCTGAGCTCCAATGATCCACCTGCCTTGGCCTCCCAGAGTGCTAGGATATAGACGTGAGCCATCACGCCTGGCCATGCATGGCTATTGTATTTATTTATTTATTGAGACAGAATCTCATTACGTTGCTCTCAGTATAGTGCTGTGTTGACACAGCTCACAGCAACCTCAACTCTTGGGCTTAAGCAATTGTCTTGCCTCAGCCTCCCAACTAGCTGGTGCCCGCCACAACGCCCAGCTATTTTTGTTGTTGTTGTTCCTGCAGTTTTCACCCAGGAGCACTGGGACCTCCTGTTAGGATTTAAAGCAAAGGTACAACAAGTGTGGGATTTCTGAGATATGCCTTTTGCAGAGTCTAAATGAGACTCAAACTCTATTTACTTAGCCCTAAGGAAAACAAGCATTCCAGTCTCGAAATAAGGTAGCCTGGTGTTATTAGCTCAATGACAGAGAGAAATTTGCAGAGAGGTGGAACTCTGCACAGGATAGAGTTTATTTAGCAGGCCTGGCCTGGGTTCGAATCTGTTAGCCTCAGTGCATATGGCTAGTGCTGTAGCCACTGAGCTACAGGCACTGAGCTGTGCATGCATGGCTATTTTAAATGAGCCTTTGAACTTGACATGCGGCACAATGCCAACCAAGAAGGTATAGCTTTTAACCAGCCAGATGTCCAGAGCAATGGCCCCTGCACAGCCCCCACCTTGCTCAAGCAAAATGTCACAAGGAGTGCCATAAATGCACCCAGATGCCTCCACCCAAAGAGCTGTACTGGTGGAATGAAAGTAACACATACCTAGCAAATGCAAACACAACCTCCCAGGACCGAGTCCTGACAGCGTCCTCCGATCCCACGTCTCATTCATTCTTTGCTTTTTCTATAATATGGGCATGGTAAACGGACCACTCAAATGTTCCCCAAACCGCCCTGTTTCCCCCCATCTTTAAAACAATGAAGCTCATTTTTAAGGAGAATCATGGAGGCGGCGACAGCCACCTGCTGAGATCCAAGGCATGTTTTGTTAATCCATCCAGCGAGGATATTTCTGAAGATGAGGTTTTTCTCGTGGAAAAGAGTCCTGTCTCATAAAACTGAGAATTCTCCTCAAAGATCTGAGCTGAAATGCTTTGGCGGAACGCTGAGGAATTAAATTGAGGTAGCAACTCAGACAGCACACCCAGGACAGCTGAGAGTAACTAGCCGCAGACTGATTTTGTGCCCGCAAATTGTTGCCATAAATCCTTTGGCGTGAATCCGCGACTCCTCCAAAGTGGGAAGTAGATCGGTTTAGAAGACATTACATTCCCCCAAGCCACCTAAAATCTTTCTTCCAAATGTCCCCAGCATGTTCCAGATAGGATTTGGTACAACAGCACTGGGACCTCCTGTTAGGATTTAAAGCAGAAATACAACAAGTGTGGGATTTCCAAGATACGCTTTTTGCAGAGTCTAAATGTGAGTCAAACTCTAAATATTTACTTAGGCCGAAGGAAAACAAATGTTCCAGTCTCGAAATAACGTAGCCTGGTGTTAATTAGTTCAGTGACGGAAGGAAAGTTGCGGAGAGGTGGAACTCTGCACAAGACATGCCTGATAGCAAGGGTCTACTAATACCGTATTCCTGCTCACTTTTGCTGATAAGCTTAAAACACAAGCTGACCTCTCCTGACACCCCAGGAGGAACTGGTGGCAGCTCGCCCCTGCAGCGAGCTTCAAGATAGGAGTTCTGCAGTCTCCGTTATTTCTGTGAGGCACTCAGGTTGGTTACCGATAAATGCAGGCACATGGTTTAATAGTATTTTGCTTTGAAAGGCTCAGAGGGCACTCCCACTGGACAGGACTGCAGCACGACAGAATACGGCATGACCGCACACCACGCACGAGAAGGACGGCTGCCCGGGTCACTGCAGGAACCGGTCCAGCTTCTCCTGAATGCGGGCAAAGGCGTCCTTCCCCAGGTAGTCAATGTGCCCTTCTTCCCACTTCCTCCTCTCTTCCTCGGGACTCAGTTCTCTCACCTTCTCTTGGATGGAAATCTCGGAAACCGAGACGGCCAGGTCGACCTAGGGAACACAAGCCAGTGGGACGTGGTTTTGAAGCTGGATCTGGGAAAGACCACAAAATCCCTCCACATCTCGGTTCCCCAAGAGACAGCACTGATCATTACCACTTTTGTTTTGAACTATACACAACTAGATTTAATGTCGTATGCACAGGTATTTTTTGCCTTCTCTCTTTAACTTTACGAAATGTAATTTAGCACTTTTCTTTTGAACTAAGTACACCCTAGATTTAATGGCATATGCATAGATTTTATTTTTTGCCTAAATCGTTTTAACTTTAGAAAATGTAATTTAGCAGTTTTCTTTTGAACTAAATACACACAGGTTTTAATATCATATGCATAGATTTTTTTTGTGTGTGCCTAAGTTTTATTCTTAATTTTTTTTTTTGAGACGGAGCCTCAAGCTGTCCCCCTGGGTAGAGTGCCGTGGCACCACAGCTCACAGCAACCTCCAACTCCTAGGTTCAAGCAAGTCTCCTGCCTCAGCCTCCCAATTAGCTGGGACCATAGGCGCTCGCCACAACGCCCAGGTGTTTTTTGGTTGCAGCTGTCATTGTTGTTTGGCGGCCCGGGCTGGATTTGAACCTATCACCTCAGGTGTATGTTAGCCACTTGAGCCACAGGCGCCAAGCCTATTTTTAATTTTATAAAATGTAATTTTATGTATGCACTTTTTCCTAAGAATTGTTTTAATTTCTAGCTACTAAACCATTTTGTGCATGCACACACACATTACTGATACATGCACCTGTTAACACCTCTGTGGTTTGTGTTACAGTATATAACCAAAATATATTAACTGAGTCAGCTTTTCACTGCATGTAAATAAGACCTATTATAATTGGGAGTGCTTGGAAAAATCATTTAAATAATCATTCAAGTAATTTTCTCCTTTTAATGGCCCCACATCTGTCTCCTTAAGGGATAAGTATGGTAAAATGTATGAACATACAAATGTGTAAACACAAGCACACACACACACAAGCACACCTTACTTTTATTTAATCGTTAGGTTCACAAAAATAATAGATACTTCTGCTTTAAATTCTTCTTACCAAGAACTGGAAAAAGACTTTTTAAAATTGGTATATGGTAACAGTAATAGGTATGAACACATATACATTACAATCTACCTACCTAGCCTACTGTTTGGTTTTTTTTCTTCATTCTTTTGTTTCTTTCTTTTTTAGAGACAGGGTTTCACTTTATCACCCTCTGTAGAGTGCTGTGGCATCACAGCTCACAGCAAACTCCAACTCTTGGGCTTAGGCAATTCTCCTGCCTCAGCCTCCCCAGTAGCTGGGACTACAGGCGCCTGCCACAATGCCTGGCTATTTTTTTGTTGTTGCAGTTTGGCTGGGGTTGGGTTTGAACCCGCCACCCTTGGTATATGGGGCCAGCGCCCTACTCACTGAGCCACAGGTGCAGCCCTATCTAGCCCAGTGTCTTTCAACCTTTTTTACTTCACGGCACACTTGAACCTTTCATGAAACTTCTACAGCACACTTAAAGTATGTTGATATAAAGAAAATGAGTAATTAAAAAAAAAAAGAATATACTTATTGTGCTTTGAACTTCCTTCGAAAATAATTTAATTCATGATCTTTAAAATTTTTCATGGCACAGCTAAGATCCTTTCAGAGTACAGCAGTTGAAAATCACTGCTGGGGATGGATGGATATATATATATATACGTGACTGTATACATAGATAAGATAAAATGTATGGATGAATGGATAGATAGATAAGATATATGGATGGATGGATGGACGGACAGACAGATGATAGACAGAAGATATGGACAGGTAGATAAGAAAAGGTAAGATGGATAACGGAGATAGATAATGGATTGGTGAATAGATAGATAAGATGGATGGATGAGTAGATAGATAAATAAAATGGATGGATGGACGGATGAATGGGTGGATGGATAGATAGATGAGATAGATAGATAGATAGATAGATGAAATGGATGGATAGATAGATAGATAGATAGATAGATGGATGAGATGGATGGATAGACAGACAGATGAGATGGATAAATGGATGGATAAATAGATGAGGTGGATAAGCAGACAGACAGATAGATGAAATGGATGGATAGATAGACAGATGAGATCGATAGATAGATAGACAGATAGATGAAATGGATGGATGGATAGACAGACAGATGAGATGGATGAATGGATGGATAAACAGATGAGGTGGATAAGCAGACAGATAGACAGATAGATGAAATGGATGGATAGATAGACAGATGAGATAGATAGATAGACAGACAGATGAGATGGATGAATGGATGGATAGACAGATGAGATGGATGGATGGATAGATGAGATGGATGGATAGATAGATGAGATGGATGAATGGATGGATAGACAGATGAGATAGACAGATAGATAAGACAGATGGATAAATGAGATGGATAGATGGATAGATGAGACTGGTAAATAAGATGGATAGATGAATAGATAGATAGATGAGACAGATTGATAGATAGATAAATAAGATGGATAGATAGGATGGACAGACAGATGAGACAGACAGAAAGATGAGACAGATGGATAGATAGATAGGATGGATAGACAGATAAATGAGATGCATAGATAGATGAGACTGACAGATAAATAAGATGGATAGATGGATAGATAGATGTGTTTGATAGATACAAGTAGATAGATGAAATACAAAGGGATCAATATACATGAACATAAATTACAGCTTTTATACCGCTGGTCAGACTGTACTTTCTCTTCTCATTATTTGTCATAGTATTTTTCTAGGGTTTTGCATAAAACATTTTGTTTTCCATACGCATTCTAATGCATTTTATTTAAAATCAGCTGCACTGTTGATCAAAGAGACAGCTAGAATTAAAAATCAAGAAAGGTGGCTCGGCGCCTGTGGCTCAAGTGGCTGAGGTGCCAGCCACATACACTTAAGGTGGCAGGTTTGAATCCAGCCTGGGCCCACCAAACAATGACGGCTGCAACCAAAAAATAGCCGGGCGTTGTGGCGGG